AGCTAAAGTCACAGAAGAAGGTGAGGTGATGTGAGCACTGAGCCATATGTCCCATGAAGGGTGCATCAGGAAAGATGTTAAAGCTACAACCCTGGGAGAGGCCTGATGAGCAAGGGAGCAGCAGAGATGCTAAAGGCCTTTGTAAACTGACAAAGGAGGATGGCAGGCAAATACGTGCACGTGAATCGCTGTGGCACCCCCAAAAAACCAAGAGGAAGGAATGGGGAAGTCCTCCTGCAATTTGCTGGATTAGAACTGAGTTAGAGAAACACAGTGTTATTATAGGTTGGTGTGGCTGGGGAAAAACACAAATGACAAACTTCTTTTTCTGCTATATGGCTATTACTGAGTCCAAATAAGAATTCAAAGTATTACCAGACACTAAGGTTAAAAAGAAATTAAAGATGTTGAATTTATCTTTTCACTTTCTACCAGCAAATCTGTTCATTGTGTTGCTTCAACTTTCCAGGCAAAGAGTTGGACTTAATTTTCATTCATGCCCCATAATTTATGTTGCTCTATAAGGAGGTTTTTTAAAGTGAGAAAAGAATCTAATATTCTTTCTTCATGTTGTTTTTTAAGACTTTGCCAAGAAATCATAATAAATTCATTCCATAAATACTTTTTGAATTAGATACCATATTAAGTGGATAAAAAAGATGAAAAACAAACAGTTTTGTGTTGAAAAAGAACCAATATGGATGTGAATGATGATTCAGGTTAGTGGTTACCTGTGGGAAGAAGGAAAGTGAATAGGAGCTAGAAGGGGTAAAGCAAGTTTTTGTTTGTTTGTTTTTCGGGGGGGTTTTTTGGTATATCTGGTATATGATGTAATAATAGTTCAGATAAGCTCATTGAAATAAGTAGAAGCTTTAGAATTTCCTTGCCTCACTCTAAAGGCTTCCCTTGGGCACTCCCCATGAGCGCTCACCATGTCCCATAATTCATTTGGGACATGGTGTGACAATGCTGAAGGCTTGAACTTACATTTTACAGAGACATTAAGGAGCCGGAAATCAATTAGAGAGATGTGTAAGTGGTGACTGAATGTGGAATAGAAAAGAGCAGGAGTATTTGTATGATTTGGGGTTTTCTGGGGAAAGTGTTTGTTTTCCTGTTATGAACACCCAGAGCCACATTTTAGGGCAGTCTCTACACACCACGTGGGTGGGTGGCTAGCCCAGTGTTTCAGCTCCGATTTGGGGATGTAAAATGGAAAAGTCATTCAATCAGTATGCATTCCAACAAAGCTTTTCAAAGCACTTATGAGCCCGACTCTGCACTTATCAAACAGCTAATTAAGACATAGCCATGTTGTGAAGGAGCAGACTGGTGTTACAACACGACGACAATAGCTAACATTTATTGAGGCCTTTGCTATGGCTGGCGGTGGGTGCTAAGCACTTAAGCTATCTCATTAATTCCACACAACAACCATATGAGGGAGGTATCATTATTATCTCCAATATATAGATGAAGAAACTGAGGTGTCCAGAGCAAGTTGTCCAAGCTAACTGGAGCTGGAACCAAGACCAGAAACCAGGACTTACTGATTATAAAACTTGTACACCTCACCATTTGAGTACACACCAAAAATCCACAGAAAACTTTCTGTGGGAATCTAGAAGAAATGACTAGCTTCAGCTAGAGGAGTCAATGCAGATTTCACAGGCAAAGGAATAACTGAAGGGAATTTTAAAGGATACGTAGCAAAGAACGTTTCAGATAGGGCTTCATCAGAAGCACAAGAAAGTGTGATGCCTGAGTAAGTAGCTTTGTGTGTTTCCACGACATGTGCATTTCAAGCTGTGGCAGAGGTGGGTTTAGTGACGTTGGGAAGAACCAAGTTATGAAGGATAGCATGTTCAGAAGTGGGGAGGAATTGAGAACGAGCTTCGTCAATAATTCCTTGGTAGCTCTAGAGTGATCCATGTCAGGCTTCCAGGGGTAGCATTTGTGTGGACCTTTTCAAATCTAGCTAAGGAAACAGACTATCGGTAAGACACACTTAACTATAAGTAACCAATAGTTTAGGCAATTATTTGATTTAGAAAGACAATTACTTTTTAGAATATACATAATTTTTGATACTTTTCTACTGCCATAAAGAACATTACTTGAGACCTGTTCATTGAACATGCGACAGTAACAAACAACAAAATATTAGTTGTCTAACACTGGTAGTTTTTCTCAGAAGTGAGGTAAGCCAAAGTTTTAAACTACAGATGCTAGTTTTCCAGTACAGAGATGAAATAATATGTTATTATGAAGTCTACATTTGGTACAGCCATTTAGTGGTCAGTCAGTAATTTGAATGTTTATCATCTCGTTATACAACATGTGATTGAGACATGTATGTTATATCATATGTATGTGCGTATATAATATGTCATATAAAGGATAGAGCATGAACCTGACCATCAGGACATTCGTTTCTCAGATAATATCAGGAAGAGGCGCAATTTTTATCAAGTCATTTAATTTATCTAAAGCTCAACTTACCTGTCAAATGAGAGTCTTGCACTAGATTGACTCCAAGATTGTAATTCTGTGAAATTAGGTAACCTTTGACCTTGACAAGCTTAAAATCTAATTGAGGACGTATAGCACATCCACACATCCAAAGGAAAGTAGATTTAAAAGCATACAAATAACTTAAAAACTAACACTACAAAAGGAAAAACTTAAAAAAAATAGGTTCTGGTGCAGTTAATTGAGAAAGCCAAGATCACAGCATTAATAAGTAGAAGAAAAGTGAGTTTAGAAATTAAATGAGAAAGTAGTAGAAATCCTCACACAGTAGGAAGAAGTGTGTATGGGAGGAATATTTTGTTTCTTTTGGTTATAAAATAATTGATTATCAAGAATAACAGTACCGCATTTTTACTTTCATTCATATAATGGTCATTCCATATTTATACATATTTTGTGTGGTGGCTTGAAATCTTCCCAGAATTCATAGTTTTACATGATTTCTGTTATTCCTTGTAAATGTATCGAAAGGGTGGTATTGGGAAATTTTTGAAAGGATTATCAGAAATTATACATAATTGCTGATTGTGTCACATGGGAATGTAAAGTATCACTAAGTTTATGAGTACAAACATAGCCTGATTCAAATTATTGCAAAACATTACCAGTTGTGTTTTTAGAGGAAGAGGGCAGCCCATTAGTCAAGCAACAACAGTTACTGAGTACCCACTGCATACTAATTATTGAAATTAGGTATTGCTGAGTAAACAGAAACCAAAAAGCAGAAGGAGAAGAAGAAAAAAGGAAGTACTGTTGATGCAATATTTGGTGGTGAATAGTATTGATGGGATGGAAGAGTAAGCACTTTTATTAAGTTATTTGGTGGAGAGCGCCTGGAATTTAGAGAGAAAGATCTCAAAGGAGAAAGAACATGGGATATAGAATAAGATGCCTGGGTTCCAATCCCAACTCAGACATTTTGGAGCTGTGCAACCTTGGATAAATATTTAGCCTTAGTTTTGTCTCCTGTAAAATGGGTATAGTAATGCTGATTAAATACTTTACTTCATAACTGACTTACAGTGAGAAATCAATGAAACAATGACCTGTAAACTGTAAAAGAATAAAAATGCTATTGATTTACATCCAGTGAGGTCCTTCACCAAACCGTGTGGTTTATTCTCTAGCATGTCTCCTCTGCAGGATTTATCCTCAATATAACACTCGCTTTTTTCTGAATGTTTCAGTAAGTTCCCCACTTGTTCTCTCCCTAAATGGACTATGAACTTTTCAATAGCATGGTTTCTGTTCACTTTCCATTCATAAGAAACAATGATTTGCACAGTATGAACCTTTAGTAAATTACTTAATAACAGTGTTTTGCATGTGAACTCTCTAAGGTACTCTCACATGTCGTTTACATACAGCTGTCAGATTTCATCTTTCTAGAGGTATTTCTGATAATGTTACATCACTGCAAAAGTTGTCAATTTTCTACTGAATCAAGCCTTTTTAATATATATTTTTATCAATATATAACTTTGCATTAGTTTTAGGTGTAGAACATAATGACTAGTCTTAACTCCTGTCTAAACTTTAAGGTCTTGCTACTCAAAGTGTGGTGTCCAGACCAACAGCACTGGTGCCACCAGGAAGCTTGTTAGAAATGCAGATTCTCCAGCCCCATCCTAGACCTACTGAATCAGCAACTGCATCTTAACAAGGTTCCTAGCCAGTTCCTGTATACAGCTTTGACTACATCATGGCTCTCTGGCTCAAATGTAGGCTTCAGAAGGAGGGTTGCCAGATTTAGCAAAAATAAATACTGATGTCCAGTAAAATTTGAAAACATCTTTTTAGTACATCTCAAATACTTCATAGGACATAGTTATACTTAAAATATATATTCATTGCTTATCTGAAATTCAAATTTTACTGGGTTTTCTCTATTCTATCTGGCAACCCTATTCTCAAGAGTGGGATCCATGTCTAACATAACTTTGTCTTCCCCCGCAGTAGTACAGCGCCTTCCCCAACTGTTCAGTGTAGGTTTGAAAACAGGTTTTTGCTTACCATTGTGCGAGTGTATATGCCTAGAGACTAATACTGTACCTGGCACATCATAAAGGACCAATAAATACATCTTTAATGAGTAAATGAATACATCAAGAGCAATCTTCCAATTATGGACTGGGTTTTCTGTGCATATTTTAATGAAAGCTGAATATTTTTCTAGTAATTTTTTAAGAAACAGAATGTTTAAAAAGCTTCTATTCGTACACTTTTCACATTTTAGCTGGCAGAGTTCAGGCCTTAATGGGAACATAATCAAGGGCTCAGGATGTACTTGTCGCAGACTAGGTCCATATGGTCACTGGTGGGAAAGAATCCTATATTCAGGATGCTAACAAGACGGCAGCACGCAGCAGTTGGCGACTTGTCCCCCTTCAGGCCCCTCGAGGCTTTGCGCACGCGCGCCGAACTTCGGCCTCGAGGGCCGAGGCGAGGAGGCGGGGCTCCCTGGGCGCGTGCGCGGCAGTCTGGCCTCCGAGCCCCTCCCTTGGTGGCTGGGGCGCGCGGCGCGGAGGACCGCACGGAAAGGGGGAAGTCAGGTGGCCGCCGCCGCCGCGGTTTGTCGCCAGAAGGAAAATGGCGGATTTGGAGGAGCAGTTGTCTGATGAGGAGAAGGTAAGAGCTGCGGGGGCGGCGGAGCCGGTCGGCCCGGGAGCCAGCGGAGCCCTGGCGTATGAGCCCGGAGGCTGGCGGCCGGCGAAGGGCATTGGTCCGTGCCCTCGGCTGCCCTTGCCCCCCTCTCCTCGCTGCGCCCAAGTGCCTGCCCCTGTCAGTCACCCGAGGCCCCGCGCGGGGGCAGGTCTCCGCCTGGCCTGCTCGCCCCGCTCCTTGTAGGGTGTGTGCTCTGAAAATAGGAAGCGGGAGCGGGGCGGCGGCGCTGGGCGCGACGGGCGGGCTGGCGCGCGCTGGGCAGCGGCGCGGGGACCTTCGCCCCGGGTCTGGGCCGCGCGGGCCCTGCGCCAGGCTGGGGGAGTCACTGTAAAAGGGGTCTGCGGCCCGGCCTGCGAGCGGCCCAAGGGCTCTGCCCGGCCCAACGGCCATGCTGAGGAGTGTAGCCGGGGTGAAGGGTAAAAGGAAAAAACCGTTTAGGAAGCAGACCTTGACTTCCCCCTTCTAATCCCTCCTCCCACTAGCAGAATGCTTCCTTTCCTGGTTCTCTATGCTTTTTTTCCTTTCCCAGTCGAACTCTGCCTGTCTTCTATTTTTTTTCCTTTTCTTTTTTCGTCTTTAGCTGTAGGCTTTCAGCTTCCGTGTTCCCTAGGAGGCAGGGGACTTGGGCAAAAAAGACCCCTCCCCAGTGGTTGTTTCCTGCCCAGGTTGGCAGCAGCCCCCCGGGGGCTGGTTTGGTAGCGCCTCTGCGTCCTGCTAGGAATTCTGTCGAAGAGGGGCGATTGTGCAACTCCTTTTACTGTATCTTAAATGGTGCGACAGCATTGGAGCCAGATGAACGACTTAAGTTCTCAGGCATTTGAAATAAGAAATCTGATCATTGAACTAGCTCTCTCTTATTTGCCGTTTCCTTTGGCTGCTGTGAGGCCCCATTCCCCAGTGAGGTGGGGTGGGGACCCTACTGATTTTGAAAATTTCCTGGAGAGGACCTTGACTTTTCTCAAACTCAGAAGTAATTGACATAACTTGAATAAGATGGTTATTGCAGTTTTTGAAGTGTCCACTCTTAATTTAACATTGTTTATTTTTTTTATGTCCCAAAGCAGTACTGCCATGTAGGAAACACAAACTCCTCATGGTGTTTTAAGAAATCCTAATGTAAGCCTAAGGATACTTTAATTTGGAACGCTCCACTCCAAGTGTTGTTATATCCTGTGTTCTTGCACCGAAATATAATGTTCCATCTCCTTCCTATGTCAGTGCTGAAGTCAGCCTCATCTTCAGTGTTGGAAATCTTTTTTTTCTCTGTGCTTTTTGGTGAAAGTTATAATAAAACAACAAAATGAGGACAGCAACACGACTCTTCATAACCCAGAGACCTGGTCGGCAGAGAGATCCCAGTATACACAAAGTTGCTGTGCAGTTTTCATATGTGTATTATTGGTAAATCACTATACGTTGGTAACTGAAAATGTATACTCTTGTACACACACACACACACACATTTAAAATTAAGTTGTGCTGAAAAGTTTGTTAAAGCGATTGTCATGTTTTTATTCTAGCACTCTTAAGTGGTGGTTAGTAGCTCAAGTCGCTAGAAATCTGGCCGAGGAAAGTACTCAGTGTGGGAGTTAATACAGACCAGCCAGGTGTTGAAAAGGCCTAAAATAATGAGATGACAAGATTCCTTATTACCCCACCCTCAGTGCACTGAGCTCCATAAAAGGGGTGGGGTGTGTCTAATTCTCTAAGCTTGCCCAATGCAATGTTCTGAGAGTAAATGAAAATTCTAATTTGAAGGAATTTGTTTTTGTTTTTCTTTCGAGTTTTGTAAGACTAGTCTATAGATGTTTTACATATAGATTTCATTGCTATATATACTAATCTTAGGAAAATATTGACCAAACTTTTGAGTTAAATTCAAGTAACTGGTTAAGTGAAATTCTAACATCGTTGTCATGTTAGAAACGTTCTTTTAATTTTTCGGGAGGAAGATGTTTGATATGGAATCAGAGAGGATTTAATGGTGATATTTTTAAACTAATGTTTAAATCGTGTTACTCTTTCTGTCACCTTGTTTGTAATTTTCAAAAATATGCTTTTAAGACTTTTAAGCTCTTGGAATTTCTATTATTGATTGCAGATCTAAGGAAGGGAAGGTGTTAAGACTTATCTGGTACCATACTTTGCATATGTCTGGCTCAGTTAGACAATACATTCGTTATTGTAAATTTGTTAATATAGAGAAACTAGGCCAAAAAAGTCATGTTTTCCATTCCTGGGTTAGCTGTATTGTACAGTAATGCATTTTTGTGAATTTGAAATTATATGAAATTGTGGCATAAGGCTCGAGAAGAACCATTCCCCAATCCCTCTCTAGGTGAGAAGAATCTAGGAAGTCAGTCCAAGCTCCAGAAGGAAGACAATTACTGGTTAGAAGAGATCTTTTTTTTTTTTCCTGCCAGCGGTTCTCAACCTGTGGATCGCGACCCCTTTGGGAGTCAAACGACCCTTTCACAGGGGTCGCCTAAGACCATCGGAAAACAAAGATATTTACATTACGATTCATAACAGTAGCAAAATTACAGTTATAGAATAGCAACGAAAATAATTTTATGGTTGGGGGTCACCACAACATGAGGAACTGTATTAAGGGGTCGCAGCATTAGGAAGGTTGAGAACCGCTGCTCTAGACCCTCCCACCTTTCCCCATTGATTAGTGATCCATCCAATAGCTTCAACTGTGTCTCTGTTGATGTGTCTCAAATACATAGTTCAGCCCTAACTTCTCTCCTGAATACCCGTCACACATTTTTTTCTGCTGGTCCTGTCACAGTGAGGTATCTTCAAAGAGATCCTGCCTAAAAGTAAATTCATAAATTCTCCTCTCCTTCCCCCTACGCAAAGGGGGACAGAAGTCTATCTCCTCCTGCTCATATTTCTCTATTCCCATTATTCCAGTCATCCAAGGTTTTTTGTTGTTTGTTTTTAAGTCAAGTAGTTGTTTCAATATAGTTGTGGAGGGCTGGGAATCCAACCGGCAACCTTGGTGCCATGAGCCTGCACTCTAACCACTTGAGCCAACAGGCCGCCCCTAGTCATCCAAGTTTTTAACTTCAGCTTTATTTTAACTTTTTTCCTTGTGCTCTGTACCTTGCAGTCAGTTTCTAAATCTTGTCACATCCATCATCGAAATGTATCTTTACAAATAATTTATTTCTTGCTTGAAAAGTTAATGCACTTATATTAATTAATAATTGGTTTATTACCTCTCAGTTAACAAGACTATTAAATTAACTATTACTATGTAATTAACTACTGTTGTTTAGTAATAAAATTTTACTGTACAAACAGTTCAAATTGATTGTACCTGTTTTGCTGAGGAAGAAATAAAGCCAAGGCCTCGAGGAAAAGTAGGGTTGGAAGAATGTCTCATATTGGTCTTTCCCTTCTGTTCTTTTTTCCACTGCTAGGTTTTTATTATACTTTCTAGACTCATCCCTCTAGTTTCCTGTATCTAAGCCATGTTTTAATCTGCTGTTTTTCTATTCCCAAACCTTTAGTTGCTGGGTCCTCCATTGCCCAGCTCCTGAAAATGGTATTCATGGTCTTGTATTCCACTGTAACCTAAATAGTACTGGCATTTCCAGGATATACTGTTATTTATTTAATCGTGCTGTGAATTCAGAGACGGGCGTGCTAGTCCATGTCTAGCACCTCGGGTAAATTATTTAATCTCTCAGCCTCAGTTTCCTCTGACACGTGGGGATATAACAGGAAGTATCTTGTCCATTAAGTTGTTATAAATATAAATGGTGCCTGGCATGTAGTAAACACAGTAAGCTGTAGTCATTTTTCTCTGCTCATGACTTAACCACTTTGACTGTTGATACTGCTCCCTGGCCTGTCCCCTTTTTTGAAAGATGAAAGTTGTACTCATCCGTCAAGACTTAGCTCAGATCACGTGGCAAGTTTAATCTCTCCTGAATACTATAACATATCATTAGCATTAAACACAGTTTTCAATAATAGTTACTTGTTTACTTGTCATTTCCCCCCTATTTTATTGGGGTTACTAAGTGCAAAAATAATGTCATCTATAGTATCTGTCATGTTGCACATGATGCATAGAATGGTTCAGTGAGTGAATGAACAAAGAACCATGAATTCAGAAAATCAAAGAAAACATCAGAGTTTTATGAAAAGTAGAAGTAGCATATAAAGCCAAATTTTTTAGGGTAAATTTGTTGTGCCTAAATTTTTTTATTTCAAAATAGTGCTATAGATTTTAAAGATTCAGACAGTCAAATGGAATGCCTGGTGCTTTCTGAGTTTCAAATCACTTACACATTCTAAATATTCTTTATAGCAATGTATACACTTTGCCCTCACTACAAAATCATAATTTGGCTCAGAAATTTTGATTGTATATAAAAACAACATAGGTCGTTGTTATATTCCATCATAATGAATGTAAACTCAGTAGTGTTCTTATTAACCAAAAAATAAACTCAACCATTGAGCTATTAATGTAGAAAATATTCATTCCTAATTATATTCTGTAGGTGAATGAATTCCATCATTGCACCAATAAAATGCAAAAATTCCTACAGCAAGCAGAAACTTGGTAGCTGTTGTATCAGTGGGGATTTGCAGACTTTGCCATTAAAATAAATTTGTAGTATGTTTTCAGTGCATTTGGGAGCTATTTCTGCATAAAATAAAGATAGTTATAGACATAGAGCATTGCATTTTAGTGTAATAACATGAGATATAAGAACACTTAGAGCAGAGTACAAAGTGAATTTTAAGTGGAAAGCATGATGGGAAAAATTGACTTACAGGACTATTCTCTGACCCCCAAAGCCTAATTGCCCAAAGCAGTAATTTATTATAAGAGATTCATGCATATCAAAGAAAAAAGGGCTCCATAGAAACACCTACAGTTGTCAAAAAAGGAGAATTTCACAAATTTTATTTTAAGGTTGGATGTACAATTTCTACGT